ACAACTTCCTTCAATCAGAAGAAATTTGTCAGAAGAGATGCATCGTCTGGCACAAACAAAAAGACGGCAAAAAAGATGCAAAGACACTTTGGTTTTTTTCGAGGAGTAAGGTGCCCTTTGGGGCTTTGGGGCCTTGTTTCAAAGGGGTTCCACAAGCTCCAGCAGTTCTAAAACCATGTCCCGTGTTGTAAAAATGGAAAAATATGAAGAACATTATATTATACAAATTTGTGCATGTTTATTGTAATAAACAACGTGGTAAAAAATAAATTTTATAATAACTTTAGTGGGTTATTGTGTTCAATACAGTAGTTTTTATATATACATTATATAAGTATTGGTCTCCAGGCCCCAAATGTTTGTAGGAAAAGAAAAAAAAAAAGGAAAAGAAAAAAAAAAAAATAAAAACCCCAAAAAAAATGTAATGCGCGTTTGGAATTCTCAAGTTCCGCCACCCCATCATTTTGACAAAATTCTGGCACTGTTCTCGGTAAGTAGATCAAAATTTTTTTTTTTTTTCTTTTTACCTTCCAAAAAAATGCTCTTTAAAATTCGTAAGAAAAAAAAATTTTTTTTTTTTTCAAAATTTCTTGGACACTGGAGCACCACTTCAGATTTTGGCCTTGGACCCTGAAGAGGTTAAAGGATATACTGTATTAATATCAACAATTAAATCTTTTAATTATTGTTGCACTCATAAGGAAATGTTCAATATTAAGGGTTAAACTGTGCTTAGAGAATGGAAAGTAATCAGGTTTAATTTGAGACAAAAAAAAAGGATAGTTCTAATTTCAGATCAAGAGTCCTTCACTAGCATCAAGCCACAAGCATTTAAAAACTGAACTGTAATTTTCATACACTTATGGAAATGTAAGTGTTTATGGCTGTGATCAGACAAGCAGTTAAAGAAGACATGTATAACAAAAGAAAACCTTTTATTTTATGACATTTCATCTACAAGGACCTGGGAGTAAGCATAGTGCCTATCATATTGTCAGAGGCTCACATCAACTGAATAACCTCTGTTACCAATGCTGGCCTGGCAAATCTGAGAGTGGCATTCCGAAATCTCAACAATGAGTCATTCAGGATGCTGTATACAACATATGTCAGGTCCATCTTGGAGTATGCTGCACCAGAATGAAACCCATGCCTGAGGAAGTATGTTATAAAACTGGAGAAAGTGCAGAAGCATGCAACAAGACTAGTTCCAGAGCTAAGGGGTAGGAGTTACAAGAAAAGGCTAAAAGAACGGAATCTAACAATCCTGCAAGACAGAAGGACCAGGGGAAGGCATTACATACAAAATACTCAAAGAGAAATTGATAGGGCAGTAGGTTTTTTTTAATAGAAAAATAGGTACTCGAGGGCACAGCTGGAAGCTAACAACACAGATAATCATAGGGATGTCAGGCAGTATTTTTTCAGTCTCAAGATGGCCATGAAGTGGAATGATTTCAATGAGGAAATGATAGAGGTACACCCAATACATAGTTTTCGGAATAGGTATGATAGGGTCCACTAGGCTAGGAGAGAGTAAATCTGGCAAACAGCAAGCTAAGAATGGACCCCTGTAACTATATGTAGGTGAGTACAGCATTTGAGAAACTAGGTAATGGAAAAAATAGAATTAAATTTATATACCAGTGCATCTGTTGAGTGTGGTATCCAATGATGCAAGAAGTCTGTTCACAAGAAATAAGTGATATTTTAGTATGCACTTAAAAAGGAAAGTAAAATTCTAAGCATTCCATTATCTCCCAATTACTATCTTAAGACACTGCTCTTTGAAAGTGTGATTGAAGGATCACAAAAACTCTCTAGGATTTAATTCCATTTCAGATTACTGAAAAAGCACGCATTTGTTTAAAATTACTTTTCCAAAATGCATGGACACTGTATTCAAAAGACCCACCCTATAACCATGTCCCGGGAGGGCAAGGGTTTTAGAAATATCACTCCCGACAAAAAAAAAATCAGTCGATTTCTGTATGGCACCTTAAACCCCCTCACCATTTCTGAGTGTGCCAAAACTTTTTTTCTTTTCGGAATTATCGGGGTCAAGGGAGGAGAGCTGGCTTGGTTGGGGAAATAGTGATCCGGACGCTGTGAAGGCAAGATAATCAGTGAAGTGTTCTGGTTAATAGGCTTCAAACTCTCTGATACTACCTATGAAGAAGCTTTTAATATTGAGAATAAAATGTTAATTGTACATTGTACAATAATTATACAGCATTGTATGTTGTATATTATTACCTAAACAATATAAAAATATATATTTGTCTATATCCGTACAGGAGAGGTTTGGGATATTGACAGTTTGGAGGGATTTCTAAACTGTTGTATCTGAGTGCCTCTGCAAAGACAGTGATTATGTGTGAGTGAGGTGAGAGTGTTGAATGATGATGGTGATGCGGGTATCAAACGATTTAGACAAAGAAAAACTGGATGTCACACTGGAGGGAGGGAGTATAGAAGTGAATGTTTTCAAATATTTGGGAGTTGACTTGTCAACAGATGAATTTACGAAGGATTGAAGGATGAGGTTAACCACAGAACTGATGAAGGAAAAAAAGTAAGAGGTGTGTTGAGGTATCTGGGGAGACAAAAAACACGTTATCTATAGAGGCAAAGAAGGGAATGTATGAGAGTACAGTGGTACCAACATTCTTATATGGGTGTGAAGCATGGGTTGTAAATGCTGCAGCGAGGTGGAGGCTGGAGGCAGTGGAGACATCGTGTCTTAAGGGCAATGTGTGGTGTAAATGTTATGCAGAGAATTCGTAGTGTAACAATTAGGAGGAGAAGGAGGTGTGGAGTTATTAAAAGTATTAGTCAGAGGGCTGAAGAGGGGTTGTTGAGGTGGTCTGGTCATTTAGAGAGAATGAAACAAAGTAGAATGACTTGGAGAGCGTATAAATCTGTAGAAAAAGGAAGGTAGAGTAGGGGTCGTACTTAAAAAGGCTGGAGGGAGGGGGTACAGGAGGATTTGTGGGTGAGGGGTTTCGACTTCCAGCAAATGTGCGTGAGCATGTCAGATGAAATGAATGGAGACGAATGGTTTTTGGGACCTGACGAGCTGTTGGAGAATGAGCAGGGAAATATTTTGTGGTGGGATTCAGGGAAACCGGTTAGCTGGACTTGAGTCCTGGAAATGGGAAGTACGATGCCTGCACTTTAACCCTTTCTGGGTCCGTGCCGTAGATCTACGGCTTTACGTTCAGGGTCCAAACCGTAGATCTACACCATGAGCTCAGCTCACTCTGATAAGCTGTGAGTGGTAAATTTGGGCCTAGATATGAGAGAATACATCTATGTGGTATGTGTGCACCACATAAAACAAATCCTGCAGCACACAGTGTATAATGAGAGAAAAAACTGAGACTGTGATTTTCGATTAAAACAGCAACTGTGCAGTGTTTTTTTTTGTATGTTTTTTATAGTTGCATTTGCAATTTCTTGGTCTCATTTGATAGAATGGAAGATATATTACAGAAATAGAGATGATTTTGATTGGTTTTAGTACTGGAAATGGCTTGAAACTGAGCTCAAAGTAGCGGAAATGTTAAATTTTTGTCGATGTTCAAGAGTAAACAAACGACCTCACACGTCTAATACACACCAGCTGGTGGGTCTAATATACATTCACAAATGTGATGATGATATTTATACAATTATTACAATATTGTATAACAGTAAATCTTCTATTTTTTGGTTTGAATAAAAATTTATTATGTGAATAAAAAATCAAAATGGAATTCATTTGTGAAGCCTGAAAACGTAACTAATGAGCAGAGGAAATGTTAGTTTAGTGCCAGGAATACCTACATTGTTAATTCTGGACCCTATTTTGAAATTGAAATATTTTGAACTTTTTGTAAAATTGGCCAAATTACCAATTTCCGATCACTTTATTTTGTAGTTGAAACAGTTGACTGGGCGATTTCTTGTGCTCAATCAGAAGTAATACTAGTGAAATAGCTAAGAATTTGGTCGACTGGAATAATGTAATTGGCCTAAAATGGGAGTCAAAGTTAGCAAAATCGCCGATTCATAAATATCGCTGACACATCAAAATTCGCAAGAGCATAATTTTGTCAATTTTCCATCAAATTTCGTACTTGTTGTTTTATTACCTTCAGAAAAAGATTCTCTACTATTTCATAAGAAAAAATAACAAAAATTTTTTTTTTAAATTCTTGGACACTGGTGCACCCCTTTGAAATTTGGCCTCTGGACCCTGAAAGTGTTAAAGGAGGGGTTTGGGATATTAACAGCTTGGAGAGACATCTAAACTGTCGTATCTGAGCGCCTCTGCAAAGACAGTGATTATGTACGAGTGATGGTAAAAATGTTGCATGATGATGAAAGTTTTTTCATTCTTTTTGTGACACCCTGCCTCGGTGGGAAACTGCTGACATATTTAAAAAACAAAAATCTGTAGAGGATGTGGTATCAGCATTTTGTTCATCAGGAAACTAAGTGGGATATGATGAATAAGAGTAATCAAAAAATTGATTTCACATCACAAACTATATGAGACATGCTTGCCTAGTGCTTCACAGTTTTAAACCAAAAGTTTTTAATTTTATTTACCAAGCTGGGTTTTTGGTAAAGAAAAAGTGTTACTAAAATGCATCTATCTTCACTGAACAAAGATGTCATGTATAAACCTATTTACAACCATCATGAGAAACAATAGCCACAATAAAAATATAACTGAAATCATAGCTAATTACAAATTTATGAACTCATATGCCAAATGCAAGTTAATCACAGTTTAACACTGTACAAATCATATGAGAGACCACATTACATAAAAATCTTAAGATAATCAAAGATACATCCATTCAATCCTAGAATAGGTTGAGTTTACAAAGCTGAGTTATTACCAAGTCCAAAAGAAAAAAACATTGTGCTTGAAGGTAGCAAAATTCTTTCTGTCTCTGAGCAAGTAAGAAAGGAGGTAAAAGCTATAAACTAATGGTGCTACATCTCTACCTTTTGGTGAAAGGGATGGTCGTGTTATTTGCCAACACTGACCCAACACCTGAGTCACTGTCATCACGAGGGACAGCAGATGAGAAGAGCTTCATGTTATGCAGACTGGTTGATCCAGATACACTAGTTTTTTCCACTGTCAAATGAAAGGAATATTAGTATAAAAGGCAAATATAAAAGCATTATTTCTTTTGTACAGAGGTCATCTACAACTAAGGTAGTGACCCAAAGAAGGAAACACATTCACCATCACTCATTTAATAGCTTCCTTGCTAGAAGTGAGCAAGCATCCCAATTTTAACAGCCTTCTGAATTGCAACATCTCCATCCATCCTTCAAAGCAGTATGAGAAAAATAAAGGAAAAAGATTAGTGAAGAAAAGAACACATTTTTAAAGAGACTTTCCAGGGGTAGCTACTAGAAATATACAGTAAAGTACTGCAAAACAAAAAGAGAAAATGCATTAATTGAACTGTATACTGATTATCTGTCTGTGAAATTAACAGCACTGGATACTGTTATCAGTAATGAAAAAAACATAGGTGCAGAGCACATTTTGATTTTGCCAATGTTTTGCTCTATACAGAGCATCATTATAAATGTGATAAGACTTAGCAAAGAGAAACATGTTGTTACAATAAAAGGTAACCCTGTACTTGTGTTTTCTTAATCACTTAGCAGTACATTACTTCACTGGTCACACTGACTAAAACTCCACAGCACTAAACTGGTTACAGCACCAAGTACACCATGTCCATCAAATGATTCACTAGTCACAACTCACTGCTGTACTTAATAGCACTTTTACTGGTCACTGTACCTCACTATCTATTTTTGCTGCTTATATCTGATTTATGTTTATAAAGATGTCAGTACAGTAGTGCATATTTAAGTAAAATATTATAAATTAACTACAGGGTATCATTATTAGCAGTGTATCACTATTTCAGTAGTTGTATGAAATGCTTTGCATAACATGAGCTTTAAAAAAAAAAAAATAAAATGCATTCTTTGTAAACACAACTGTTATAATTGTATTATTATTATGATTTTGGGAGATGTTAAGTGAATGTATAGGAGCCTTTGAACCAAGTGAGAGAGTAATTGTGGTAGGGGACCTGAATACTAAAGTAGGAGAAACTTTTAGAGAGGGTGTGGTAGGTAAGTTTGGGGTGCCAGGTGTAAATGATAATGGGAGCCTTTTGATTGAACTTTGTATAGAAAGGGGTTTAGTTATAGGTAATACATATTTTAAGAAAAAGAGGATAAATAAGTATACAAGATATGATGTAGGGCGAAATGACAGTAGTTTGTTGGATTATGTATTGGTAGATAAAAGACTGTTGAGTAGACTTCAGGATGTACATGTTTATAGAGGGGCCACAGATATATCAGATCACTTTCTAGTTGTAGCTACACTGAGAGTAAAAGGTAGATGGGATAAAAGGGAGAATAGAAGCATCAGGGAAGAGAGAGGTGAAGGTTTATAAACTAAAAGAGGAGGCAGTTAGGGTAAGATATAAACAGCTATTGGAGGATAGATGGGCTAATGAGAGCATAGGCAATGGGGTCAAAGAGGTGTGGGGTAGGTTTAAAAATGAAGTCTTAGAGTGTTCAGCAGAAGTTTGTGGTTACAGGAAAGTGGGTGCGGGAGGGAAGAGGAGCGATTGGTGGAATGATGATTTTAAAAGAGGGTAGTAAGGGAGAAAAAGTTAGCATATGAGAAGTTTTTACAAAGTAGAAGTGATGCAAGGAGGGAAGAGTATATGGAGAAAAAGAGAGAGGTTAAGAGAGTGGTGAAGCAATGTAAAAAGAGAGCAAATGAGAAAGCGGATGAGATGTTATCAACAAATTTTGTTGAAAATAAGAAAAAGTTTTGGAGTGAGATTAACAAGTTAAGAAAGCCTAGAGAACAAATGGATTTGTCAGTTAAAAATAGGAGAGGAGAGTTATTACATGGAGAGTTAGAGGTATTGGGAAGATGGAGGGGAAAATTTTGAGGAATTGTTAAATGTTGATGAAGATAGGGAAGCTATGATTTCGTGTATAGGGCAAGGAGGAATAACATCTTGTAGGAGTGAGGAAGAGCCAGTTGTGAGTGTGGGGAAGTTCTTGAGGCAGTAGGTAAAATGAAAGGGGGTAAGGCAGCCGGGATTGATGGATAAAGATAGAAATGTTAAAAGCAGGTGGGGATATAGTTTTGGAGTGGTTGGTGCAATTATTTAATAAATGTATGAAGAGGGGTAAGGTACCTAGGGATTGGCAGAGAGCAGGCATAGTTCCTTTGTATAAAGGCAAAGGGGACAAAAGGGAGTGCAAAAATTATAGGGGAGAAGTCTGTTGAGTATACCTGGTAAAGTGTATGGTAGAGTTATTATTGAAAGAATTAAGAGTAAGATGGAGAATAGGATAGCAGATGACAAGGAGGCTTTAGGAAAGGTAGGGGGTGTGTGGACCAGGTGTTTACAGTAAAACATATAAGTGAACAGTATTTAGATAAGGCTAAAGAGGTCTTTGTGGCATTTATGGATTTGGAAAAGGCGTATGACAGGGTGGATAGGGGGGCAATGTGGCAGATGTTGCAGGTGTATGGTGTGGGAGGTAGGTTACTGAAAGCAGTGAAGAGTTTTTTACGAGGATATGAGGCTCAAGTTAGAGTATGTAGGAAAGAGGGAAATTATTTCCCAGTAAAAGTAGGCCTTAGACAAGGATGTGTGATGTCACCGTGGTTGTTTAATATATTTATAGATGGGGTTGTAAGAGAAGTAAATGCGAGGGTCTTGGCAAGAGGCGTGGAGTTAAAAGATAACAGAATCACACAAAGTGGGAGTTGTCACAGTTGCTTTTTGCTGATGACACTGTGCTCTTGGGAGATTCTGAAGAGAAGCTGCAGAGATTGGTGGATGAATTTGGTAGGGTGTGTAAAAGAAGAAAATTAAAAGTGAATACAGGAAAGAGTAAGGTAATGAGGATAACAAAAAGATTAGGTGATGAAAGATTGGATATCAGATTGGAGGGAGAGAGTATGGAGGAGGTGAATGTATTCATATTTGGGAGTGGACGTGTCACGGATGGGTCTATGAAAGATGAGGTGAATCATAGAATTGATGAGGGGAAAAGGGTGAGTGGTGCACTTAGGAGTCTGTGGAGACAAAGAATTTTGTCCTTGGAGGCAAAGAGGGGAATGTATGAGAGTATAGTTTTACCAACGCTCTTATATGGGTGTGAAGCATGGGTGATGAATGTTGCAGCGAGGAGAAGGCTGGAGGCAGTGGAGATGTCATGTCTGAGGGCAATGTGTGGTGTGAATATAATGCAAAGAATTCATAGTTTGGAAGTTAGGAGGAGGTGCGGGATTACCAAAACTGTTGTCCAGAGGGCTGAGGAAGGGTTGTTGAGGTGGTTCGGACGTGTAGAGAGAATGGAGCGAAACAGAGACTTCAAGAGTGTATCAGTCTGTAGTGGAAGGAAGGCGGGGTAGGGGTCGGCCTAGGAAAGGTTGGAGGGAGGGGGTAAAGGAGGTTTTGTGTGCGAGGGGCTTGGACTTCCAGCGGGCATGCGTGAGCGTGTTTGATAGGAGTGAATGGAGACAAATGGTTTTTAATACTTGACGTGCTGTTGGAGTGTGAGCAAAGTAACATTTATGAAGGGGTTCAGGGAAACCGGCAGGCTGGACTTGAGTCCTGGAGATGGGAAGTACTGTGCCTGCACTCTGAAGGAGGGGTGTTAATGTTGCAGTTTAAAAACTGTGGTGTAAAGCACCCTTCTGGCAAGACAGTGATGGAGTGAATGATGGTGAAAGTTTTTCTTTTTCGGGCCACTCTGTCTTGGTGGGAATCGGCCAGTGTGATAATAAAATAAAAAAAATATTATTACACATAAAACAGTTGTATCTGAATGCCTCTGCAAAGACAGTGATTATGTGTGAGTGATGGTGAAAGCTTTTTTTTCTTTTTGGGTCACCCTGCCTCAATGGGTAACGGCTGATGTGTTATAAAAAATAAAAAGAAGTTACAAATTAGCTACAATCCTTACTTTTAAGACTGTCAGAAGCATCTCGTGGCAGTGTGTGCTGATGTGTGGAAGCAGTGGCTTGGATGCGTGACAAAGCTACCTGCAAAATTGCTGCCTCGGTTCCCTGCAGGTGACCCACACAGCTCGCTTGACCCCCACATACAGCTGACTCTCCACGACACAGCAAATTCAAGTGATGAAGAACCTCCAAGCTCAGCTGCAAAAATTACCATTATTAAATTTATATAATAAACATTCCCTATCTTCCAGTTTTGCTTCATAAATCATTTTGCTAAAAATTCTAGAAATAATTCTTAAAATCTTTATTACATTACCTGCTAATTTTTAGCATCAGAATCATGACAAGATTTACTACTGAAAGCGGCAGATCTTGTCATGATTCACTCAACTGCCGTCTTGGCAGAAGCATGCTGACACCATATCTCAGATAACCCTCCAAATGGCAACACCTTCACCCCTTTGGAGTGTAAGCTCTGTATGTCTCACCTCCAGTACTTAAGTCTGGCTGGCATTTACAGATGGTCTTCACTTTACAATGGTTCAACTTACAATATATTTTGATTTTACGATGGTGCGATAAAATTGTAAAACTCTTTTTTTTTTTTTTTGTACTGTCCAGTACTGTACGTATGACAGGATAAACTTGTATTCATTTATTTACTTTTCAATACTGGTATTCAGTTAGTTACAGGAATTGTAACTAGAAGTTATTTATTTATTTGTCATATAATTCATATTCAACTTACGATATTTTAAACCTACGATGAATTCATTGGAACATAACCCCATCGTAAATTGAGAAGCAACTAATTAAAATGTTGGGAAATGTGTAGTATCAAATTATTTTGATACTGACCATAAAGTTTTTATGTTGAGGTGATGCTACAAGGCAGTTGATTATCCAGGAAAGAATCTCAGTAATGTCCGACACAACCACCTCACACTCACTCTCCCCCGTCACATCACTCACGCCCACACCCTCAGTGTGGAGAGACCTTTTCAGTGTGCATAAGAGAGAATCCACAAAGTGAGCTTTGTGGATAAGTGGCAGTATAAGCTCTGTGTTCTGAAAAAATAAATAGTTATACTTGAAAAAATAATTTAATATTCACTTATGGTGTGGCACTGCAAATATAATAGCATATTCAATTAACAATTTAGTTAGGTATCATTAACTAAAAGTAAATTATTATTATTATAAATGTCAAACTGCATCATAAGTAAAATATTAAATATGGAGAAATACATAATACAGTGGATCCTCGTTTTTCGTAATTAATCCGTTCCTGAGAGTGACTAATGGCAAAACTGATGATTTGCGAAACCATTTTCCCCATGAGAAATAATGTAAATCCAATTAATCCGTTCCAGACCAAAAGTATTAACAAAAAATATTTTTTTTACATGAAATGTAGATTTACATACACAGAAAATAATGAGACGTCAAGAATAAAACAATAATAACATCACACTTACCTTTATTGAAGACTCTTGTCGGTGTATGAATAAAATATGTCATTACGTATGTTATGATATGTGGCGGCGGCAGGGGAGTGTGTTTGGAGACAGAACAAGATCGTCCTTCAATATGACACTAATATCAACTCTATGGCTTATTTATCTATCACAATTCATCTAATATGACATAATAAACAATATTAATAACATAGAAACATGACATATACTACTTTAGAATGAATAAAGTATGTAATTACGTATGTCACGAGAGGTGTTGTGTTGTTGTTGTTGGGTGAATAAGAGCCACTGATAGAATAAGCCTTACACAGTGGTGGTAAAGGCAGCGGTGTTGTCAGTAGTCCTATATACCTCCAATAACATTGGAGGAGTTAGTTTCATACTGACCTTTTTCTATCAATTAATTGCTTAACTTACTTGCTACACTGTTAATTCTACACTTTATCGCTGGCTGGCACTACACTCTTCAGGTCACTTGTTCTATCTAGGCTGGAATATTGCTGCACTCTAACAGCACCTTTCAAGGCAGGTGAAATTGCCGACCTAGAAAATGTACAGAGAACTTTCACGGCGCGCATAACGGAGATAAAACACCTCAATTACTGGGAGCGCTTGAGGTTTCTAAACCTGTATTCCCTGGAACGCAGGAGGGAGAGATACATGATTATATACACCTGGAAAATCCTAGAGGGACTAGTACCGAACTTGCACACGAAAATCACTCACTACGAAAGCAAAAGACTTGGCAGACGATGCACCATCCCCCCAATGAAAAGCAGGGGTGTCACTAGCACGTTAAGAGACCATACAATAAGTGTCAGGGGACCGAGACTGTTCAACTGCCTCCCAGCACACATAAGGGGGATTACCAACAGACCCCTGGCAGTCTTCAAGCTGGCACTGGACAAGCACCTAAAGGCAGTTCCTGATCAGCCGGGCTGTGGCTCGTACGTTGGTTTGCGTGCAGCCAGCAGCAACAGCCTGGTTGATCAGGCGCTGATCCACCAGGAGGCCTGGTCACAGACCGGGCCGCGGGGGCGTTGACCCCCGAAACTCTCTCCAGGTAAAACTCCAGGTAAACAGCCTTTATCGACTTATGCTGCTTTAGTATTGTACATATCGTAGAATCACTGAAGAAGGCACATTCTTCCCCTCTCTCTTCCTCCTCCACTTTGGTACTTTGCTACGAGCTCTTCCTTTAATTCTATCGTGCTTCTCACCTTCTTTACCAAAGGGCTGGCACTAGAAGCTTTCTTTGGGCCCATGGTGGCTTATTTAGCAGTTGCAAGCACTAAAACGAATGGAATATTATGAAATGTATCGTATGAACGTGAGAGATCGTGGTCACTTGCTGATAAACAATGGCACCCTGACTGTGAATGGTATGTGGGGCCGCTTGTGCCGCTCATACGCTTTTTTTTACCAATGACTGTTTGCAAGTCAAACGACAATTCGTGAGTCAATATTTTGACGAAAAAACATTGCAATTTGTGAAAATTACGAATTCTGATGCTTACGAAAAACAAGGGTCCACTGTATGAGCAAATGTACTCATATATATATATATATATATATATATATATATATATATATATATATTTTTTTTTTTTCAACAAGTCGGCCGCCCTCCCACCGAGGCAGGGTGACCCAAAAAAGAAAAAAAATCCCCAAAAGAAAATACTTTCATCATCATTCAACACTTTCACCACACTCGCACATTATCACTGTTTTTGCAGAGGTGCTCAGAATACAACAGTCTAGAAGCATACACATATAAAGATACACAACATATCCCTCCAAACTGCCAATATCCCAAACCCCTCCTTTAAAGTGCAGGCATTGTACTTCCATTTCCAGGACTCAAGTCCGACTATATGAAAATAACCGGTTTCCCTGAATCCCTTCACTAAATTTTTACCCTGCTCACACTCCAACAGATCGTCAGGTCCCAAGTACCATTCGTCTCCATTCACTCCTATCTAAACATGCTCACGCACGCTTGCTGGAAGTCCAAGCCCCTTACCCACAAAACCTCCTTTACCCCCTCTCTCCAACCCTTTCGAGGACGACCCCTACCCCGCCTTCCTTCCCCTATAGATTTATATGCTTTCCATGTCATTCTACTTTGATCCATTCACTCTAAATGACCAAACCACCTCAACAACCCCTCTTCTGCCCTCTGACTAATACTTTTATTAACTCCACACCTTCTCCTAATTTCCACACTCCGAATTTTCTGCATAATATTTACACCACACATTGCCCTTAAACAGGACATCTCCACTGCCTCCAACCGTCTCCTCGCTGCTGCATTTACCACCCAAGCTTCACACCCATATAAGAGTGTTGGTACTACTATACTTTCATACATTCCCTTCTTTGCCTCCATAGATAACGTTTTTTGACTCCACATATACCTCAACGCACCACTCACCTTTTTTCCCCCATCAATTCTATGATTAACCTCATCCTTCATAAATCCATCCGCCGACACGTCAACTCCCAAGTATCTGAAAACATTCACTTCTTCCATACTCCTCCTCCCCAATTTGATATCCAATTTTTCTTTATCTAAATCATTTGACACCCTCATCACTTACTCTTTTCTATGTTCACTTTCAACTTTCTACCTTTACACACATTCCCAAACTTATCCATTAACCTTTGCAATTTTTCTTTAGAATCTCCCATAAGCACAGTATCATCAGCAAAAAGTAACTGTGTCAATTCCCATTTTGAATTTGATTCCCCATAATTTAATCCACCCCTCTCCCAAACACCCTAGCATTTACTTCCTTTACAACCCCATCTATAAATATATTAAACAACCATGGTGACATTACACATCCCTGTCTAAGACCTACTTTTACCGGGAAGTAGTCTCCCTCTCTTCTACACACCCTAACCTGAGCCTCACTATCCTCATAAAAACTCTTTACAGCATTTAATAACTTACCACCTATTCCATATACTTGCAACATCTGCCACATTGCTCCTCTATCCACTCTATCATATGCCTTTTCTAAATCCATAAATGCAATAAAAACTTCCCTATCTTTATCTAAATACTGTTCACATATATGCTTCAATGTAAACACCTGATCTACACATCCCCTACCCACTCTAAAACCTCCTTGCTCATCCGCAATCCTACATTCTGTCTTACCTCTAATTCTTTCAATTATAACCCTACCGTACACTTTTCCTGGTATACTCAGTAAGCTTATCCTCTATAATTTTTACAGTCTCTTTTGTCCCCTTTCCCTTTATATAAAGGGACTATACATGCTCTCTGCCAATCCCTAGGTACCTTCCCCTCTTTCATACATTTATTAAACAAAAGTACCAACCACTCCAACACTATATCCCCCCCTGCTTTTAACATTTCTGTCATGATCCCATCAGTTCCAGCTGCTTTACCCCCTTTCATTTTATGTAATGCCTCACGTACCTCCCCCACACTTACATTCTGCTCTTCTTCACTCCTAAAAGATGGTATACCTCCCTGACCAGTGCATGAAATTACTGCCTCTGTTTCTTCCTTAACATTTAAAAGTTCCTCAAAATATTCTCGCCATCTACCCAATACCTCCATCTCCCCATCTACTAACTCCCCTACTCTGTTTTTAACTGACAAATCCATATTTTCCCTAGGCTTTCTTAACTTGTTTAACTCACTCCAAAATTTTTTCTTATTTTCATTAAAATTTCTTGACAGTGCCTCTCCCACTCTATCATCTGCTCTCCTTTTGCACTCTCTCACCACTCTCTTTACCTTTCTTTTACTCTCCATATACTCTGCTCTTCTTATAACACTTCTGCTTTGTAAAAACCTCTCATAAGCTACCTTTTTCTCTTTTATCACACCCTTTACTTCATCATTCCACCAATCACTCCTCTTATATATATATATATATATATATATATATAAAAGCAAGAGTATTAAATATTTCAGGTAAGAACTGAGGCCCTCTACAGCAGACTGAAGAAATCCTCGGCTGTAGGCCAAAATATATCGTATTCCTTTCACTTTTACTTTATTTTCTATACGTTGGTTTCTTGCACAATTGACTAGTGTTTAACTGAACTTTTGTATTTGAATATAAAATGTAATTTACCTTGTGTAGCAAGTCCAGCATGACCATCAAGGAATTGTGGCAAAGTGCAATGTCCTGTGCTGAGTGGGGAAGCAATGCCATCAATGGGATGAACAATACCACCTGAAATTCCCAATGTTTAAATGACAGCCAACAAACATCAAGTACAGTTCATGGTGTAGATAAATAGTTCAGAGAACTGACAACTTGATGAATCAGACACATGTGCAACACTTGGGTATCTTATTGAGGAAATATTTTGCCACACAGTGGCTTCATCAGTCCAGTACAAAGAAGAATGGTGAAGATCAGAAGGAGATTGAGGTAATCAGTCACTCAGCCTGGAGTTGATGTAAATTTTTTTTTTTTATTATCACACTGGCCGATTCCCACCAAGGCAGGGTGGCCCGAAAAAGAAAAACTTTCACCAACATTCACTCCATCACTGTCTTGCCAGAAGAGTGCTTTACACTACAGTTTTTAAACTGTAGTGTAGTTGATGTAATCAGTCCATCAATCTTGTCAAGACTGATTACATCAACGCCAGGCTGAGTGACTGATTGCCTCAAACTCCTTCTGATCTTCACCATTCTTCTTTGTACTGGACTGATGAAGCCATTGTGTGGTGAATTATTATTATTATTATTATAATCAAAAAGAAGTGCTAAGCCACAAGAACTATACAGCACTGTGTGGTGAAACATTTTCTCAATTAAGATACCCAAGTATTGCACTTGTGTCTAATTTATCAACACTGTTCATAGTAAACTAACAAGTATATACAATATACAAAATTCGTACTGCAGTAAATCTCTGATTTAACAGACTAATAGGAGAGTGGGTGACTGGCAATGGTGACTGTGTTGGGTAGAGACAAGACTATTTTGCTCTGATCATAATAATAATGGACAATACACAAATAACCCGCACATAAAAGAGAGAAGCTTACGACGACGTTTCGGTCCGACTTGGGCCATTGACAAAGTCACACTAACCAGAAGTGGAGCAGGATGGCTATATATAGGCAGGAAGAGGTGGTGGTGGTAGTAGTAGTAGTAGTAGTACAAGAATGGTATATAATACCGACAAGATGAAATTAAGACACATGTGCAACACCTGGACATCCCTATCGTAGACGTCCACAACAAAGACAACCAGACGCCGCACATGTGCCTTAATTTCATCAGTAGTAGTAGTAGTAGTAGTAGTGGGAAATAAGGAGGACGAGCCAGTCAAATACAAAGGAAGGGGAGCACTGCAAGAGAACTAGGTGCCCACTGAGGGAGAGCAAGCACAAAGAGGCGCGTGAAAGGGTAAGTGGTGAAATAAATGCCTATATATAGCCATCCTGCTCCACTTCTGGTTAGTGTGACTTTGTCAATGGTCCAAGTTGGACCGAAATGTCGTTGTAAGCTTCTCTCTTTTATGTGCGGGTTATTTGTGTATCGTTCCAGTCACGATATTGTGCCTTTTTTGTTATTTAATAATGGACAATTTTCCATCCAACAGACTTTGACTACTGTTTTCAAATTAATTAACCCAGCAAATTTTGTCTCATACTTATCTAAAGTCTGTTAAATAAAGGTTTGTTAAATTGAGGGATGTTAAATTGAGGGTTTACTATACACAAAATTAAAATGAGTAATTTTACTAATGATTAATTATAAAAATTCAACTTTAAACACAAAAAATGATTCAACACATATGTTTTTATCACATCAACCAATTCCCATCAAGGTAAGGTGACCAAAAGAAGAAGACATATTCACCATCACTCATTCAATAGCTATCTTACCAGAAGTGCATGGCTATCACAACTCAAGTGAGCCTCTGAATCACAATCAAAACATCCCCACCCATCAACAAAGATTGTTTTTTTTTTACATCATCGATCATCTTCCACCAAGGCAGGGTAACTCCCTCCCCTTAAAAAAAAAAAATTATTCATCACAGATCTTTCTTCTTTCAACACACCGGCCGTATCCCACCGAGGCAGGGTGGCCCAAAAAGAAAAACAAAAGTCTCTCTTTTTAAATTCAGTAATTTATATAGGAGAAGGGGTTACTAGCCCCTTGCTCCTGGCATTTTAGTCGCCTCTTACAACACGCATAGCTTACGGAGGAAGAATTCATCATAGATACATACCCAAAATACTTACCTGTTGTGGGAGAGCAAGGCTAGGGTCACAGTCAATAGCATAATCTTCAAATGTAAATGAGCGTCCCAAGGCGAGGGAAAACGCTGCTAAGACTAGATGAGTAGAGATCGTAGTATGCTTGTGCAACTGCTGTGCCATTATTATAGGAATATTTTGTCGCAGGTGTAGAACACTGTCCTCGGGAGAACATCTGTCCAGCATGGTTGTAAACAGCTGGACAGTCAAGTACATACTATCAGTATAAATATACAAAGTGTAATCAACAAAGTTAAAAGACTGATTATAGTTGAGTGAATCTGATGATTTGTAAAAGTCAAAGGTAAATTATTACGTACATGAATTCTTGATGGAGTGTGTCAAAACCAAAATAAAGTTCAAAAAAATAAAATACAATTCCAATTTACCTTGAGAACAGCACATCGGATGGCAGGCTGGGGGTGATTTGCCATCACTATCGCTTGATCCATATAAAGAGCTTCAGCCAAGAGAGTTCGTGTTGTAGTATCCGAGGAATATTTTAATACTGTTTCCAGCATCTCTAAAAGCCCCACCACTACTTGTGTGAGGCATGACAGGTTAGCACAACTGGCACTGTCTTCTTCCTCGGCAGTTTCATCTTCTTCAGTCTCTCCTGTTTCTTCCAGCCATTTTGTCGCTCCTCTTACGGCATGGTATTCAGTTTCAGTTTTTTCACTGTCTGTGGAAATTCCATTTTCACTTTCCTGATTAAACCCTTCCAATAGATTTTCTTCTCTTGGCACATTTTCCTCAGAGATTTGTTCTTCTTTATTAGGTATTTCTGATTTATCTGAAAAATCTTTCTCATCAGTATCTTTCTGACTTCCTTCACTTAAGTGAACATCAGTAGGCACTACTGAGATAACACAATGTCGGCGGTGCAAAACCTGGCCATCTACTTGGTCTTCAGATGTGACTGAAGGATGCACATTTGTACTAATGTTAAAAGCCTTACCCATGTCACCGTCGGTGGTATCTTCATCCTCGGAGCTCTCATACACGTTCTTCACAATGGTGCCTTCCCTTCGCAATTTTCTCATTTCCTCCTTCTGTTCCTTTCGTATCTGTTGTAGTTGAAGAAAAGGGTTGCTATTGTCAACCACTTGCCAATCAGCAGTCTAGGGAAAGATTTTATGATTTGATTAGTGAAAACAAATATGAGGAGAATTAACAGGGTTAATAATCAAATAGAAGATTATTGTCACTCAACACTAGAAGAGATTACAAAGAGAAACAAAATTTACTATTTTATAAACTATGAAAAATGTTAGTGATTAATACCAGTGGCATATTCCATGTGCATGAATTGAATACACATTCTAATTTGGAGAGAAAAAGATTGTTTAGTTGGCCTTTCAGAGAGTTGATGGAAATATTATTGTAAGAGAAAAAAGGGTTTGCTCTACATATTTTGAGGTTTTATTGAAAATAAGGGATGGGGAGATATATTCTGGCCATACACAGACAATACTGGCTGGGAGGATATACTCAATAGTGGGCTTACTAGGTACACAGAGGCAGCCATTACAGTTAGTTAGCCAAGGTTTGCAAATGAAAAGAAAGCTGATAATAAAACATTAATTAATTCTGATACAGTGTGTAATGACTGAAAAAGGGGAAGATTTCATAACAGCCATGCATGCAAATCGTGGAAGGGGAGGGATGGGGGGAGGGGTCTTCTAAATTAATCCTTTATAGGAGGTGCCTTAATGCTAGCAAGGTGTTCCTTGATCTGAGGATTTGGAGTAATCCTCCCCTTCCTTGAATCAAACCTGATTACCTCATACTTCTCTAGTGCTTTATGATCCTTATGGGTTCCATCCTTCTCCATGAATATAATAATAATCTTTTATATTGAAAAGACACACAATAAGAAAATCAGATGGAGAAATAAAAAATGAATTCTTGAGGCATAAATGAATTCTTTCCCATTTAAAATAGTCTGCCATTTCCAACCAAGGCAGGGTGACCCAAGGATTTTTTATTTTTGGGTTAGCATGATTAAGTACAAGAAAAGGCATAATCAGCCTGCTTTTGGTAACTTAATACAGTATTAAATACACATTTTTAGGAATCAAGAATTTTATTGAAATTTTTTTTTAAAACATCAGCCGTCTCCCACCGAGGTAAGGTGACCCAAAAAAAAGAGGAAATGCTTTCACCACCACTCATTCAATCACTGTCTTGCCAGAAGCTTGCTGACACCACAATTCAGATGGCCCTCCAAATTGCAACATCTCTACCCCCTCCTTCAGAGTTCAGGTACTGCATGTCCCACCTACAGAACTCAAGTCAGGCTAACCAGTTTCCCTGAATCCCTTCATAAATGTTCTCATGATCATACTGTAAAAGCACGTCAAAAGTCATAAAAACCACTTGCCTCCATTCACTCCTATATAAAACACTAACAAAAGCATGTTGGATGTCCAAGCTCCTAGCACTCAATATATTTAATGAGTCTCATAATGCATTATCAAGGCACAAAACAATTTTTAATACCCCTTAACAATGTGATCCATATAATTCAAGATCATGGGCCATATATTTAAAAATAAAAGTTATATAACTTTATTGTAGATATATAATAGGAGTATTTACCTCAAACTGTGATATAGTCTGGGTTTTTCCTGGGCAATCCATTAGCTCTGCAGCTAAATCCACTCCTACAGCAACAAATGATCCTGAGGAGACCCCAAAGAAGTAAGCATCAAGACAGACTTATTTAAGTAATTGTCAAAAAAAAAAAAAAAAAAAAAAGTCCCAGGCTGTTTAATATGATGCAGAGAAATATTGGACCACCTCAAGATTCTTCCTTTACCCCCCAAAGAAAACAGTTAACTAAGGTTATTCAAATTCTTAGACAGGTTAAGTAAATTAAGCTATTTTACATTACGTCAATTTTTTAAGGCAATGGGTGTCTCCCACCGTGGTAGGTGATCCGAAAAAGAAACACTTTCACCATCATTCATACTATCACTGTGTTGCCTCTGGCAAGGCAGTGATAGTGAGAATGATGGTGAAAGTGTTCCATTTTCGGATCACAGTGGGAGATGGCCATTGTATTAAAAAAAATGAGCAAGGTTAGGTTGCAATGTTAGTTTTAGTGCAAAATTAAAAACTGGCAAATGTGTGCTTAACTTTATTTCACTGCTTTCCTTGGGAGGTAGAAGCAGTGAGAATCTTCAAGGAATTCAAAACATTTATTGGGATTACACCAAAACAAATAAACACAATACACTGAATTTTTAAATACGGAATATGAATGGTGAAATGATAAATGAAACTTGACAACATACATCAAGACCAAAATTGGAATATGTAGCTGTAGCAGGGTGTCCACGCCTAAAAAAGAAAGAACATACTAATATTGTACAGCAGAGGAAAAAATAGAAAAAAGTTTAAAGACATACAGGAAAATCAATTCCAAAGTTAAAAAATAAAAATTATACAACAAAAGAATGTGCTAAATGTCCCACATGGATTCAATGCCTTTTAATTTAATAATAATAATAATAATAATAATAATAATAATAATAATAATAAAAGATTGAAGGTACTAGTAGACAGAAGGAAAATAGGAATATGAGAAGCAAATATTACATCATAAAAAATGTATGGTTTGAACTCGAGGCCTGGTCTCAAACTGGGCCGTGGGGGCACTGACCCCCAAAGCCCTCTCCAGGTATACTCCAGGTATCCACCTACCAATGGACCAACAAAATGATCGTCTACCAACCATAACTTATAAAAAGTGAAAAAATGGTATCGTTTACCGACAACTCGAACTTACGACGGGCTGTCTGACCAGTATGCATACCTAAATAATGTACGTATATTAGAACTGAGGTCATCTATTCTGTTTATTACAATATACAGTACACTGTTGTATAAACATTTAAAAATATACTAAAAATGTTATAAATGGTGCAACAGCGACATTAAAGCAATATCAAAGATAGTTGACATAAACCCACTACCATTACAGTATGCTCCTCGCATAGGAACAAATTCATTTACTGACACGGTATTAGAAACGGAACTCTGTCGTTAAGTGAGGAGAGGCTGTATTTTTCACCTGCTCAAATTCTGAGGTACAAATAATGATTTATATTCTATTAAAGCCAAAATCAGTTACCTATTGAGGTTTAATGTATATAGAGTGGACCCTCGAATTTAGTAGTGCCTTTTCTGTATGTAAAACTATTTTTATTATCTATAAAATGTATGCTTTGTTAATATTTCCCTTAGGAAATAATGTAAATCCAATTAAACCATTCCAGATGCCCAAAAATATTAACAAACAATACATTTTATAGATAATAAAAATAGTTTTGCATACAGAAAAGGCACTACTAAATTCGAGTATATATATATATGTATATATATTTTTTTTTCAACAAGTCGGCCGTCTCCCACTGAGGCAGGGTGACCCAAAAAGAAAATACTTTCATCATCATTCAACACTTTCACATCACTCACACATAATCACTGTTTTTGCAGAGGTGCTCAGAACACAACAGTTTAGAAGCATATACGTATAAAGATACACAACATATCCCTCCAAACTGCTAATATCCCAAAACCCCTCCTTTAGAGTGCAGGCATTGTACTTCCCATTTCCAGGACTCGAGTCCGGCTATATAAAAATAACCGGTTTCCCTGAATCCCTTCACTAAATATTACCCTGCTCACACTCCAACAGATCGTCAGGTCCCAAATACCATTTGTCGCCATTCACTATCGAACACGCTCATTCACGCCTGCTGGAAGTCCAAGCCCCTCGCCCACAAAACCTCCCTTACCCCTTCCTTCCAACCTTTTCGAGGACGACCCCTACCCCACCTTTCTTCTCCTACAGATTTAAATGCTCTCCATGTCATTCTACTTTGATCCATTCTCTCTAAATGACCAAACCACCTCAACAACCCCTCTTCAGCCCTCTGACTAATGCTTTTATTAACTCCACACCTTCTCTTAATTTCCACACTCCGAATTTTCTGCATAATATTTACACCACACATTGCCCTTAGACAGGACATCTCCACTGCCTCCAACCACCTCCTCGCTGCTGCATTCACAACCCAAGCTTCACACCCATATAAGAGTGTTGGTACTACTATACTTTCATACATTCCCTTCTTTGCCTCCATAGATAACATTTTTTGACTCCACATATACCTCAATGCACCACTCACCTTTTTTCCTTCATCAATTCTATGATTAACCTCATCCTTCATAAATCCATCCGCCGACACGTCAACTCCCAAGTATCTGAAAACATTCACTTCTTCCATACTCCTCCTCCCTGGCCTGGTGGCTAAAGCTCCCGCTTCACACACGGAGGGCCCGGGTTCGATTCCCGGTGGGTGGAAACATTTCGACACGTTTCCTTACACCTGTTGTCCTGTTCACCTAGCAGCAAATAGGTACCTGGGTGTTAGTCGACTGGTGTGGGTCGCATCCTGGGGGACAAGATTAAGGACCCCAATGGAAATAAGTTAGACAGTCCTCGATGACGCACTGACTTTCTTGGGTTATCCTGGGTGGCTAACCCTCCGGGGTTAAAAATCCGAACGAAATCTCTCTCTCTTGATACCCTCATCACCTTACTCTTCTCTATGTTCACTTTCAACTTTCTACCTTTACACACACTCCCAAACTCATCCACTAACCTTTGCAATTTTTCTTTAGAATCTCCCATAAGCACAGTATCATCAGCAAAAAGTAACTGTGTCAATTCCCATTTTGTATTTGATTCCCCATAATTTAATCCCACCCCTCTCCCGAACACCCTAGCATTTACTTTTTTTACAACCCCATCTATAAATATATTAAACAACCAAGGTGACATTACACATCCCTGTCTAAGACCTACTTTTACCGGGAAGTAGTCTCCCTCTCTTCTACACACCCTAACCTGAGCCTCACTATCCTCATAAAAACTCTTTACAGCATTTAGTAACTTTCCACCTATTCCATATACAGGAAGGCCCCGCTTTACGGCGTTTCACTTTACGGCGTTCCGCTAATACGGACATTTCAAATTATGACCAAAACTCACTATACGGCTCCCCCCACCTGACTTTCTAATACGGTCACCGTGCCCCACCCTGTTTGTTTACATTCTCCATGAGCTCAGTAAGCACTAAGTCTCTCCATTTTGTCTGGAAACTCCAAAATTTCAAATGTTTTTAAAAGTTATTTCATATTTTATATATACTCTGATAATTATACTTATGTATACCTGTACCTAAATAAACTTACATACATCGAGTCATTTAAATGTCGTATATTACGTTAATATACACATTTTCATTAATCCATCCATGATATTTTTTTCAAAATTATATAATAAACACGATGCATAACATATAAATAAGATAAATACACCCCACAGTAGAATAAATAAACAAATGTGAGATGTCGTAGCAGACGACTTGCACAAGTGGTGATAATAACAATACTGAGTCTCATTAAATGTCGTATATTACGGTAATATACACATTTTCATTAATCCATCCATGATATTTTTTTCAAAATCATATAATAAACACGATGCATAACATATAAATAAGATAAATACACCCCACAGTAGAATAAATAAACAAATGTGAGATGTCGTAGCAGACGACTTGCACAAGTGGTGATAATAACAATACCAGTCTCATTAAATGTCGTATATTACGGTAATATACACATTTTCATTAATCCATCCATGATATTTTTTTCAAAATTAATATAATAAACACGATACATAACATAAAAAAGATGATAAATACACCCCACAATAGAATAAATAAACATAAATATAAGATGTGGAGCCACATAACTTGTACAAGTGACGCCAAGAATAACATTTTCTCTAATCTAACATAAGAGTAAATGTGTTACTGGGGGTAACTGTAGAAAATTATTCCTTTCGTATGTATGTAAGTAAGTTTATTCAGGTATACACAAATACAGTTACATAGATTATCATACATAACAACATACGTGTAGAGAACCTAGGATAACCCAAAAAAGTCAGTGTGACTTATTTCCATTGCCTTCACTCAGAGCTTCATTTCTTCTCAAAATGATCTTACATGAGAATGGGAGTGTTCTTCTTTATTAATTCTACCGTATCAATGTAGAGACAACCTGTACACAATGTAACTTGTACACAAACCAGACGTGTACACTTCGTTTTTTACAAAACTTACCTTCGCCTGGTTTGTTTACATAACTGCGCCTGCCCCCTCTCATGTATTCATTCTTTCTCTCTCTCATTTATTCGTTTTTATCTCATTTACTTACTCCTGACCCTACATTAAGACTACAAATATTTTAAGGTAAGTAATGAGTGAACTGTATATACATTTATATCGCTCTGGGATGCTTAAATATCATAGAATAGTATGTGTGGGTGGGGTGGCCTGGTGAGGCTATTACAATACATACCACACTTGATTTCTTACAATAAATACTACTTGTCTCACCCTAGATTAAGACTATAAATATTTTAAGGTAAGTAATGAGTGCACTATGTGTGTATTGTACCTTTTTATTGTTTTTTGATGCCTGGTTCTATTGCTAACTTAATATATGTTAGTGTAAACTTGTTATCTAGTGTTTGTATGCATTTATAAGTGGAAAAAAAGGGTGTTCCACTTTACGGCGATTTCCGCTTTACGGCGGTAGC